ACATCTAATGTGCCCTCACCGTAAATGACCCTGTTTGCACTACAGGAGTCTTTTCGTTTATTTTTGACCGCGCCCTTAACTCTGTTTATCAGAAATCAATTTTATTGTTTCTGTTCGAAATTTCATTTTCATGATTGTTTTTATCTCGAACACACTAAACTGTGTATCTTTGAGGTTGAACGTCACATTTCCTCCAGACTCTCAGAAAGTTCTCTTAGTTGTTATGAAATGAAACGAAAAACGTTCTGATCACAGATATTATTTTTGCAATGGAAGGGAAAATGTTTGTGGAATTATATATCCCCACATCAATGTTCAAAGTTGTGCGATTTAATTTTATGCAAAGACGTAATAGTTATACATTATGTATAATTAGGATATCTAACGGATGGAGTGATTGAGAATATGAAAAGTAGAGTATTTTATCTGAATAAATCGATTTGTGGTGTGTCATGATTCCAGGAATAACCCTGTGAAACTTCTGATTGATAGATGTACGTGGTATCATGGTATCAACTACCTGTTTATTCCACAACATTTCACAAGATTTTACAACATTCCACAACAATTTTTCCATAGTCATACTCGTTTTCATATTTATTTTTGTGTCGCTGCAAGTTCTCACGCCCAGCTAGCAGCGAGCCACGCGCAATATTAGGTACCTCCCTATGGTACTATGGCTAGAGTTTGACTATTTTTCTAAAAAGAGTGTCAAATGAAATGAAATTGGAGGTGTTTCTACCTGAAATTTCGAGAAAATATTATCAGTTTTCGAAACACAGCATCACTTTTGGCAAATTAATGAGATTCAAATTCTGATCTGCAATGAAGACAAGAATGAAAACAAACAGGGTGTGTTGATTTATAACAAAATAAGCGCCGATGAAGAACCAAATTCACAATGTTTTCAAAGTGTTTTGAAATTTGATTCATTGAAGAAGATCAAAGATGAGTCCAAACCAAGTTTTGTCAGACCCATCTTATCATACATCACTGAACTCGTCATTCTGAGCTGTCTCCAGTGATGCCATTGAATACAGGGTGCTCTATTCGACATTTCGGAGATCGGTTGGCAAAATACGTCATCACTCTCGACATGTTCGAAATTGACAAATATAGACAAAATAGGTATGAAGATCACATATACAATTTGACGAAAACTGTGCGGGTAGAAACCTTGATTCTCAACGTTTTCATAGGGATTCAAAATTCACCTATTAATTGAAGAAGATCATGAAGGAGTCCGGAACGGGTGATCTCAGACTCAAAATTTCATGTATTATCGAACCCATTTTCCTGAGCACTATCCAAGAACGAAATGTGATTCTGGGTATTCCATTCGGGAAAATAATATATGTTTGATGGTTAGTCACAAACATATGGATCATCCCGTAAAGTTGACATTATCTAAAAAATAAACTCCATATGACTGTTAACAAGTTCGATCCACAATTTCAATCTATTCTAGTTCACCAGATAAGGAGAGCCAACCGTATGGTGGTCGGCCAACCGTGTGGTGGTCGGATTAGAATAACCTCACGGTAAGTCCTGCCTGGCGTAAAAGGCGACCAAGAGGACGCCAATAGGTGGAAGATGGTTAACGCCATCGCCCGGTGCGATACCACCACATCAACCATAGGCACTGTGAAATGGGTATACTTACACGTTTCAGTAGAGTTGATGTTCCGGCCAACTCAACCCAACCCAATTTCCGTTTCCTTCTACGCCAACCTCCCTTCTTTATACAGAATAAGCGATGATAAGTTCTCCTCAAGTAAAATTATCCGGGAGTAAAATACCTCTCCATTCGGATTTCCGGGCGAGAGGTGCTAAAGGGGGTTCACCATGGGCTGAAAAAGTCCTCAAGATAGACCTATGTAACATCCGAGGTCTTAGTAAGAACATCAACCATGTCCATCGACACCTTTGAATTAAAAAGCCAGACACATTGGCTCTTACTGAGACACAGGTCGATTCATCCACCAATACGACCTATCTGCTCTGTCCTGGGTACGAATTCCACACACGTTTCAGATTCAAGGTAGGTCTCTGCCTCTACTCTAAAACGAATCTCTCATGACAACGAGAAAAAACTTTGGAACCAAATAAGTTTGATGTCATGTGGTTCAAACTCGATAGCCAGAAACAGACCAAATACCTATGTTGTCTCTACTCATCACCAAATGATCCATCCTATGAAGAGCTTTTCGAACTCTTGTCTCTGATGCTTGACCGAAATCAACAAAACCATCCAGCAGCAGAAATCATCATCATGGGCGATTTCAATAAACACGACACTGCTTGGCTCCTACACTCTAACAGAACAGATGAAGCTGGGCGACAAGCCAGAGCTTTCGCCATCACTCACGGCTTAGAGCAGCTTATCAAAGAACTCACACGAATTCCCGATGCCAATAACCATTCAGCTAACATATTTGACTTATTCCTCACTAATAATTCAGCACCCTACACCATAGATGTACGAGCTCCACTTGGCAATTCTGACCACATACTCATCTCCACAACCTGCCCATCTTTCATTCCATCAACTGCTCCGGCACCCCCACGTCTTATATGGCATTACAATTCAGGAGATTGGGACGGTCTCCGCATGTTTTTCTCCGAGTTTCCTTGGTATAGAGTATGCTTTGACTCTGAGGACCCTTCACAGTGTGCTGCGGATCATCATGCTCGAAATGGACACATACATACCTCATTTTCCGAAAAGATCATCACCTTCGAAACCCTGGTTCAACAAGAACTGTTCTAGAACTGTTGCTTTGAAACAAACAGCCTACCATCGCTGGCGCAGAAACCGTAACCTCGCGACTAGAGCAGAATACGTTGATGCCAGGAATAACTGCAGCCGGACAAAAGATGCTTCGAAAGAAACATACAATGCCAAGATAAGATCGAAACTTATAGATTGCCCCGATGGCTCCTGTTCGTTATGGTCCTTTGCTAAAGCGGTGGGAAGAAATCTCACTAATAGTCCATTTCCACCACTGTCCAAATCCGACGGCACATTAGCAACAACATCGCAGGAGAAATCAAATATTTTTGCAGAGATGTTCGCAGCAAACTCTACTTCAGATTCCCAAGGAAAAGTGCCGCCAGACATTCCACCCGTTGAGAGTCGAATGCCCAAAATCGTCAAACGTCAACGCACTATCAGACGAATTTTGCTTGGTCTCAAAACGAATAAGGCTAACGGTCCTGATGGAATTCTGCCCATTATCCTCAAAATATGTGAACCTGAATTGACACCGATTCTCTGCAAGTTGTTTACCGTCTCGTACAGGTCGGGTATTTTTCCATCATGCTGGAAGACAGCTAGAGTCCAACCAATCCCTAGAAAAGGGAACAAGAACCTGCACAACTACAGGCCCATTGCCCTGTTATCAGTAATCTCCAAAGTGATGGAGAAAGCCATCAATATTGAGCTTATCAGATATCTGGAGAGCTCAGGAATCATCAATGATAGAAAATACGGCTTTCGCCACCGAAGATCTACTGGGGATCTACTTGCCTATGTCACCCATTTATGGCAAGCTTCATTAGAAGAACACGGGGAATCTCTAGCTGTCGCGTTGGACATATCGAAAGCATTCGACCGTGTTTGGCACGAAGGACTCCTCCACAAACTACCATAATACGGCTTACCACCTCAGCTATGCCATCTCTTATCGAGTTTTTTTTCAGGCAGATCGCTCTACGTGGTGGTGGACGGTGTATCGTCTGATACCATTGGCATCAATTCCGGCGTTCCACAAGGATCAATTTTGGCACCAACATTATTCCTGCTTCATATCAATGATCTGTTGGGAGTAACAACTTGCCCTATCCACAGCTTTGCAGATGATAGTACCCTCCATACTGCGTTCTCTTCCAAAATTACCATTTCTTCCCAGGAAACTAAGAACTCACGACGCAGGCAGGTCAATGCTGTCAATGAAGATCTTGCTGAAATCACAGCCTGGGGTACAACAACCTAGTTGAATTCAACGCCACCAGAACTCAAGCCTGCATTTTCTCTAGAAAGTTGGAACTCAGTATGCCCGATATTGTAATGTCTGGCTCCACCATCTCCACCACCATATCTATGCTCGGAATTCCCATCACCCTTTCATGATATAATCATGTCAGATCCATCGCAAAAGCTGCTTCCCAAAAAGTCGGATTCTTGTTCCGTGCGAAAAGCTACTTTACACCTCAACAGCTTTTCATGATCTACAAAGCGCAGATACGGCCTGTTCTAGAATACTGTTTCCACATATGGGGTTCAGCATCAAAACATACGCTGATGCTCTTAGATTCCATCATTGGAACACCGTAGAAAGGTCGGCAATCTTTTACTTCCCTATCGATACTTCCACGGGAAATGTTCTTCGGAAATCTCTGCTATCATCCCTTCATTAGCAATACCAATCAGACGAACTAGACAAGCCCAGTCAGCACATCCTTTCGTTGTCATCCTCGAAAGATGTCGAACAGCACTATATATCAAGACTCCTTCATCCATAGAACGGCTAGGCTCTGGAATTCATTGCCTGTGGAAGTATTCCCAACAACATATAATCTCCAAAAGTTTAAAACAAATTCCAATACCTACCTCCTGTCCCTATCCTCCCTAGGAACGCACGATGTTCTTTGAACATTATAGGGATTCCCTTTCGTGCGCTCCAAGCAATAAAAAAAAAGTGGGTCATGTGGGATACCCTGTACGTGTTTCTATAGGCCAAATAAACACGTTGATTTATATTCTTTTCTCACTCGCTCGAAATAATTGACATTCAATTTCAAATGACATCATATGAAAACTATAAATTCATCTTGATGCATGTTCCTCCAGGCACCTATAGAAATCTCACAGTTGTTTGTCAATTACTATATGATGCAATCATGAAAGAGAATTTATTGGTTTAGTTTCAGTTCTCATTATATTTGTTTATTTGAATGATATTTCCAGCGATAACTTCGTAATCATTTCCATTTATTACCTGCATCACGAAATGTGGTGGTTCAACTTCTGGAGATGTGGATAAATGTTGTAGTATGAAGTCATCAGTCTGCTCCAACCATAAGTCCACACCCCTCAGTGGTTCATAGTTGAATGGTCCAATCCTCAGCAAACCCAAATTGCAGTCATAAATATCTAAAACCTGTAGATGAAACATTCATCAGAACACAATTTGCTGAAATAGTTGTTCCATATCAATAATAGTATATAACGTAATATGTGTTGTAAAAAGCATATTATGCACGAATAGAAAAGTTACGCCCGTAACCGCGGAGTTGCGAGTGCGTAATTCCATAAGTGCGCAATTGCTTCACAACACGCACTACGTACTGTACTTTACCTATTGCCATATAGTACATCAAAAAAATTTGGACAAATTGTCTGAATTATAATCCTTGACAGTTATGTCATCCGCTGTTGACGGCGATTACGCAATCATGACATACCTATACTGGCGGAATAAACGTAAACTGTAGGATGTGCTTACTGTGCGTAAAGAGGTTGTATTTCGTGCGTTCTTGCCTACACTGTATAGTGGCCGTAGGTAATGAATATTCAGTATCCTTCTCCATTCAAAATATTTAGGTACATACAATGAAATAGTTTGTTGATGGGAGTTTAAAGAAACATTATTGATAATCAATATTTCTCGATCGAAATCTTACAAGACATTTTGATATTTCTGAAAAAAGTGCATACTTGAAGAGACTGCGCATGAGTGAAATCATCCCAGAACAGTTTTGAGAGGAACCAGAACAAACCCTATGAGGGAACTCAAAAACATGTATCTGACATTTCACAATGGTATATTGTGTCACAAGGGCAGAAAATGAGCTGTAGCAATCCTGCGTTCATTAGTTGCACAACTGGGGGCAGCTGGTAGCTCTTGATTCCGATCGATTCTGAACTTTGATTGACACCGACGTTCAATGAAAATGAATGTAGAACGTTAAAATACGCATTACGCTAGTGATAGTCGAACGTGTTGAAATAGGATATGAAGTGAATAAAGATGCTGAAGCGTTTTCTGCATGTGTGACACACAACTGTTTCTTGCCTACCAGAAACATTATTGTTCTCATTATCCCGAAATTTGATTCACGCTGATGTTCAATGCCAATTTATTATTTATCATTATATATCATTATATTGAAATCATGAAGAATTGAACAGGTAGATCGTTTCATCGTCTGCTTTATTTGACTTCGTTTTTATAATTTTCCAGCTCGTGAGAATGTGCTACTAACAGGACATTTATTGTGTTCACATGGTGATGACGCTAAACATTTGCGGCTGAAATAGTGGTTATCTGGTTATCAGAGGTCTTCACTCATTATTACAATAATGACAGGTTCAGTAGTTATATTTCCCTTCTAATTAGGCAATTCAACCCAGGTTAGAATCAATAAGTCGCCTGGTTGGCACCAAATATTGGATTGCCTAATTATGCATGAGTGTTCCAAAATGGATATAATTGTATTTTTTTAACTAGATTTGTGTTGATACAACTCAATTGCAGGCTATGTGCTTTCGAAAAGACGAATTATGATGAACATTGGTGTTACAATCCACAATATTCCATCTAAGATTATTGTAACTAATAATTCATTTCAATTCAATTCCATCCAGATCACATGACATCCAACAATTTCGGTTTCAATTCAACAAGAATACAGGATGGTGAGTTATTTTAATATTCATTTCTGGTCTAACTAGAGATTCTTTCTTGAGTATCGATCTCCACGGAAAGGATTTGATTATCATGACCAGTTATTCCTTTGGTAATCTTTCCCAGAGTTCATTTCGTTCGACACTCACTGTCAGGAAGAGCTACTACATTATCTACTTATAGAGGCGTTTATTTCTCGTACCATTTCGTTCTGTTTCTCAGTGCGGAAATATACTCTTCTCATCTTCTTATTCGATAACGCTTCGACATCAATTGAGAAATCTTATATTGCTTGCGGCCGTACATAACAGCAGTTCCAAATACTCTAGGAACATTTTATCTACTGGCTGTCACAATTAGAACGTGCATCGGAGTGAGAGCTTCCAGTTCACCACATTTACTCGAAACAAAGCTTATTGGTCTATAGTTGACAATGCTTCCAGTTCTGACTAGAAGTGTTGTTAGTAGTTCTCTTGATAGATGCTGTCCTATATATAGTACCTTCTCCACGCTCTGGATCATCTTCTCTCATATACATTCTCGAAAGGGTGCTGCTGGAGTATTGAATTCCCTTTTTTTATGTTCTGGATTCCACGAAAAAAGATATCCTGTGATGTTCAGAGAACATCGTGGTAACCAAGGAAAATAAGGTAGGAATTGGTGTCTTTGTCAAATTCCTGGAGGTGATATGCCTCGGGAAACACCTACATTGCCAATGTGTTCCCGAACCAATGTTTCAATCCACGATATCGTATCTACTTCTGTGATCCAGACTAAGGTTGACTTCCACCCATCTTCCCAATGAATGAAAATTATTTTATGAGTGATTTAATATGCTTGAAATGATGGAAAAATGGGTTGCCTGAAAGAATCCTGACTATGCTATAGAATCAAAAAATTACTTTTTCTTACAATTTATACCGACGTGTTTAATGAAGAAACTTCACACTAACCGTGTGAACAAAGCCTATAGAATATGCGATTGTGAGGTTGTCTATATGTTTAAGCCATACTATAGGGTAACCAGGTATAAACATCTTCGTTCTAGTTATCATCATCAAATTGTTCAATGTACGAATTTAGCGAAGAAATAAACGCTGTTTTATTGCGAACACAATAATATAGGGTTGAAGCAAAAAGTCTGTTCTGGATGACGGTTGTCAAAGTGTTCGAAAAATTGAATATGAGTGCGACTGTGAACGTGCGACAAAGATTTTTGAGACGAATATCCCGTTTGATAGACGAAGACAGAGTTGAAGTTGCGTGCAGTGCGACCACAGGATGTTAAAAAAAGTGGGCATGTTAGTATAGTTCATGCAATATAAAATGATCAGAACTGTTAAGTGAATATATTGGCAACACGTTTCTTTTTGTTCTCTGGAATAGTCATTTTTGTTCCCAGGGCGCGAAATGCTCCTTTGGTGAACGAGAAGAAATGGTCGAGATCATCGAAATATTCCGTGCACCAATTGCAAAATTTCATTCACAAACGTCGAAAGCATAGGTCTAAAGTAGTGATATGTCTAGCTCAATATGAGAAATAATGTTGAACGGGCATGAAAAGTCTCGTGGTAACGTTAGGAAACAAAGAGTTTCACCTTGCATATTGTTATGAATGCGTGAACCTTGTCATTTTTTGAAGTTCGTTTTTCATCGCTTGGAGCGCACGAATGCATATAATGTTCAAAGAACATCGCGCGTTTCCAGGCAGGACAGGAACAGGAGGTAGGTTTTGAATTTTTTTTAACTTCCGGAGATTATAAGTTGTTGGGAATACTTCCTCAGGCAATGAATTCCAGAGCCTAACCGTTCTATGGATGAAGGAGTTTTGATAAAGTGCTGTTCGACAACTTTCGAGGTTGACAACGAAAGGATGTGCTGACCGGGCTTGTCTAGTTCGTCTTACTGGTATGCTAGTGGAGGGATGATAGCAGAGATTTCCGAAGAACATTTCCCGTGGAAGTATCGATAGGGAAGTGGAAGGTTTCTGACCTTCCTACGGTGTTCCAATGATTTCAAAGAGTGAGTGAGTGTGGCGTCACCCACCAGGCGAATTGCTCTTCTCTGGATGAAATCTAATAGCATCAGCGTATGTTCTGGTGCTGAACTACATATGTGGAAACAGTATTCCAGAACAGGCCGTATCTACGCTTTGTAGATCATGAAAAGCTGTTCAGGTGTAAAGTAGCTTTTTGCACGGAACAAGAATCCGAGTTTTTGTGAAGCAGCTTTTCCGATGGATCTGACATGATTATCCCATGAAAGAGTGTTGCTGATGGCAATACCGAGCATAGATATGGTGGGCTTGGTGAGGATGGTGGTTCCAGACATTACAATGTCATGCATACTGAGTTCCGCCCTCCTAGAGAAAATACAGGCTTGGTTGTTGGTTTCCCAGGCTGTTATTTCAGCAAGGTCTTCATTGACATTATCGACCTGCCTGCGCCTTGAGTTCTTAGTTTCCTGGAAAGAAATGAGAATTCTGAAAGAGAACGCAATATGGAGGGTACTATCATCTGCAAAGCTGTTTATGGGTCAAGTTGTTACTCCCAACAGATCATTGATATGGAGAAGGAATAATGTTGGTATCAGACGATACACCGTCCACCACCATGTGAATCGATCTGCCTGAAAGAAAACTCGATGAGAGATGGCATAGCTGAGGTGGTAAGCCGTATGATGGTAGTCTGTGGAGGAGTCCTTCGTGCCAAACACGATCGAATGCTTTCGATATGTCCAACGCGACAACGCTAATGGAGCTTGCTATAAATGGATGACGTAGGCAAGTAGATCTCCAGTAGATCTTCGGTGGCGAGAGCCGTATTGTCTATCATTGATGATTCCTGAGCTCTCCAGATATTTGATAAGCTCTGTATTGATGGCTTTCTCCATCACTCTGGAGATAACTGATAACAGGGCAATCGGCCTGTAGTTGTTAGGCAGGTTCTTGTTCCCTCTTTTGGGGATTGGTTGGACTCGTGATGTCTTCCAGCATGATGGAAAAATACCTGACCTGTACGAGACGATAAACAACTTGTAGAGAATCGGTGTTAATTCTGGTGCACATTTCTGAGGATGATGGGTGTAATTCCATCAGGACCGTTAGACTTATTCGTTTTGAGACCAAGCGAAATTCGTCTGATAGTGTGTTGACGGTAGACGATTTCGGGCATTCGACTCTCAACGGGTGGAATGTCTGGCGGCACTTCTCCTTGGGAATCTGAAGTAGAGTTTGCTGCGTACATCTCTGCAGAAATATTTGCTTCCTCCTGCGATGTTGTTGCTAATGTGCCGTCGGATTTGGACAGTGGTGGAAATGAACTATTGGTGAAATTTCTTCCGACCGCTTCAGCAAGGGACCAAAACGAACGGGAGCCATTGGGACAATCTATGAGTTTCGATCATATCTTGGCATTGTATGTTTATTTCGAAGCATCTATTGCTTGGCTGCTGTATCAAAATGGGTGAAAAGGTATTTTTTATGTGACTCAGATAATCCTTCGATTGATTCTAATGATTGAACCGAGAAAATGATAATTCTTAATGGAATGATGTTGAGCTCATTGAAGCATCACTTTATTTTGTTGTATACAACGCAGCATTCGGATTTGAATACAGGAAAAATCAGTTTTTCGTTGTAGCTTTCCAACGGCTCGAAGGAGACAATTTTTGGAAATGCAATATTTCATGTTCGTATAATGGGTGTGTGATTCGTTTCATATAAACAGGGTTTTCTAAGTTTACACGACCCTGAAAGTTTTCATCCTGTGGATATTAAAGAACGCTCGATGATTCCAAATATTGCATTCACGTAGTAAACTAGGGGTACCAAATTCCAATTCATTATGTTGAAAAAGTTGAGAAAACCTGAACAATCTAAGATTTTGAAACCCTGTTTATGGGAAACGAAGCTCTCATGCTCATGTTCACATGAGGTTTCTATTTTCAACTGTTTCCTCTGAGATGTCAAAGTATTGCTACAAGAAACTGACTCACCCTGTATATATACATATTTTCAAATCATTTCATTCATCTGACTTATATAAACTCTCAGATTATCATATATTTCATATGACTTCTGTATGTATACAATCATCTGCTTAAACATATTGTTGTTAACTAGTATATCGCTATATTTTTTTATCGCATACACTACTAATATGCGCACTCTCCTACAACCTGTGTTCGTGCTGTGCGCTACTTCAACTCTGTATTCGTCAATTGCACGAGATATTCATCTTGGTCATCTTTGTCGCACGTTCACAGTCGCAGTGAAATTTTGTTTTTCGAAAAGATATTGTTATCGTCATTCAGGCCAGACTGTTTGCACGCAACCCTATCTCATTGTGTTCGCAATGAAACAGCGCTCATTTTTATGTTTCATCCATCAATTGAACAAGTAGGACTAAAACCAACATACCTGTTAATACCTCGCAACTCTATAGATAGACCAGAAATAGTATAGGCAACCCCACGTTTACATATTCTATATGGTTTCATCAAACACATCGGTAGAAATAAAAAAAAAATGTTTATAAGTTTGCCAGGAAAATTTCGAGCAACTCACCTTCTTTATAATTTTCAACATACTGAATCACTTATAGGATAATATTTATTCATCAAACAGATGGGTGAAGGTCAACTTCACTTCGGATCCTTTACTTAATATTGTAACTAATGATTATCTGACAATAACTCAAGAAATCCCAATGACATTCATCAACTCAGTTTGAATGACAAAAAAAAAACGGATGGTGGATTATCACAATATTCAACAATCAGAAATGCTCACTTGTGGAACTCCAGTTAAATATCTTGCACACCTCAGCGAATGGTCAGGACCCTTATCTGGAAATGTAGATGGAAAGATTTCTCCAGTCTTCACGTTGACTCCTACTCCGTAAATGATAGGCCAGTGGATTCCTCCTCTTATAGTTGTATTCAGTTCTCCCACACATGCAAGAGTTAGATCAATCTCGACTGGTTGCTTGTGGAATGAATCTGAAACAAAATAACATTGATGTTTGCATTCATGATGGATCCACGGATAGTTCTTGGACAACAATCAGTTCTCCGTCTCATCATGTGATGATAATTTCAAACATAATTAGGTGACAATGTATACCTATCTCCTCCAACACTATTGATCTTTTCACAGAACTTGAACAATCATAGATTCGACAGTTTGAGTTTGAATTTAGTGCGATCAGGTCACGTACCTAACTGATTCTCTTCCTTGGCGTCACTCATTCATTATCAATTCGAATCCTAACTGCGTGAGACCATTAAGTATTCTATCGATGAAATGGATCTCAGTTACAGCATACATGGAGTCTCAGAAGTAAGTTTCTTTCGGAGACTCATAAAAATAACTGAAACTTGATCACATTTAAGACGAGGAATACTATAAATGACATTAGAGCTCTCAAGTGTTGTCAAAGGTGTTTTGATCTTGCTTTGTAGGCTAGTTATGGTATTTGTGTTTTCCTTGCAATACGAAGTTGATCTGATTCGAACACATTCGTGAGCTTTGATGTTAGTTCCTCAATGTAAGGAAGAGATCTGTGGGAAATCTGAGTAGGTTGTGTCGGAAGAGATTGACTAACATTTGGGTTTCCATCAACATATTGATTTTGTATTGAGTTAGGTTGATCTGGGTTGAATAAAACTTTTGTGAATGAAGTTTGTAGAATAGAAATTTTAAGTTAGGATATTCTTGAGTTCCTTCAAACCGTCCACTCAAAAAGTTGGATGTGAAAGCTTTGTCACTCTGTTTTTGAGGCGATGATGAGATTTGTTTTCATTTTGGTGGGTTGGTTGAAATGATAACTGATGAATCTCTTACAACATATTAATTTTCCATACCACTTCGTTCGTAGAATGTTGTCATTTTCACTACAGACTCTCATAGGAACAAAATACTTTGATATACTTCTTCCTCCGATGTGAACTGTAGATCAATGTCGTAGATGTTGAAGAAGAAAAGGGCTTCATCAATCTGATTTGATGATAGAGCGTGTATCAGATCAGAGAAAAGCCATCTTTCACTGAATCATCAAGTACAAAAACATAAATACTGTCTGTAGGTTAATCGAGGAGGTGGTACATTCATTTTACTTGGTTCTTTGGGATTTTCTCTCCTAGAAACGAGGAGAGAAAATCCCAAAGAACCAAGTAAAATGAAAGTACAAAAACGATATTCAAAGACTGTTGGCCCGCGACATAGGGTTTATCGATGTTCTGAGTCGGTATGCCATTTAAGGGACCCACTCAATAAGTCCAAGTTAACAGGAAGAAGTGCCTCGGAGAGTCGCAACCCAGTCCTTGCCCCGGCCCTGACCTCACCTATCAGTTTGAAACATTTTCAAAATTTTGTTTAAGTAGTAGCTCGGCAATGAAGTGCAATGATCTTATCTCACAAAAATTGGGGCGCTTGCCGGTTTGCATACGCCTAGGTCACTCCCCAAGGGCGGCATACGAACAGGAAGTGGCAATTTCTCAGTCTTATAGTCGATGATCTGAGAATGTATGCCCTTTGGCGAAACAATGAATTCGGACCCATTAACCAGTTTCCCGACATTTGCATACAATTCCGGAGAGGGAAGCTCGACTTATTCGAACATCAATTGACTAGACATCTTTCAAATAATCGATCATCGGAGAAATGTTCAAATTTTGACCATGGTTAGTGGACCACACAGTATATATGAGATTATGGTTTGCATACAATTTGCACATTCCCGACATTTGCATACAATTCCGGAGAGGGAAGCTCGACTTATTCGAACATCAATTGACTAGACATCTTTCAAATAATCGATCATCGGAGAAATGTTCAAATTTTGACCATGGTTAGTGGACCACACAGTATATATGAGATTATGGTTTGCATACAATTTGCACATTCCCATCTCCCATTGTAACTTAGTTGTTTCTGAACCGATTTTAAAATTTCAAAAACCAATTGAAATGATTTTCCTAAGAGATTTCTGATTGTTATTGAAAAATCCACAGGCTGTTGGTAGTTGCAGATTTTTTTTTTACTGGAACACTATATTTTATTTCACTATTGAGTTGAGATTATCATGACGAATACAGCTCTACAGCATCTAGCGATATCATTTACACGCAGCACTCTTATAGCGATCATGCACCAAATCGTCAAATTGCGCAAAAAATATGAATCCCGGATTTGAAGTATTTTCATTTATTTTGTTCTGAAACAATTTTCATATCTGAACAATGATTTGCGATATTTGGCATTTCGATGAACTATAGCCACCAGAATCATCGAAAACACATTCTTGCCTTTACTACATTCAAAATTACCCGTTCTCGCTCACAGACAACCTATATTTGGCATTTCAATACAGGGCGTTTGGGGAATGCGGGCAATACAAAAATTTCCATACACATTCTTGCCCTTACTGCATTCGGAATTACCCGTTCTAGCTCAAAGACAAGCTATATTTGGCATTCGAATACAGGGCGTTTGAGAAATTTGGGCAGAAAAAATTTCAATACACATTTTTGCCCTCACTGCATTCGAAATTACCCATTCTTGCTCACAGACAAGCTATATTTGGCAATCGAATACAAGGCGTTTGGGAAATTTGGTGCCCAATCGCGACACGATTCTAACAAAGTTTACCGAAAAATTTCATCAATCTTACTTTTCCCACAAAATGAAAAAAACCCTTCCATCATCTACACCCACGAATACAAAACGTGAGCACATTGTACGGTCCGTGCTACAAATAAATCTGAACGAGATACGGAAAAATTCCAATGGGCGAAAATTTTGTGAAATTTTTTTAAAAATTTTCGAAAAATATACAATTTTTCAACTTTCAAGGTCACGAAAAACTTAGGTAGGGGGGAGGAGTAGAAATTGATCGAAAAAAGGTTTTCACAAAATTTCCACAAATATTTTGCCACCATGGAAACATTTCTTGGTACTAAACCTCTCACACATGTAATTTTGTTCAGCTGTAAATCTTTGATGAATAAATACAAATATATCTGCGATTTGCGGCGCGTCTTTGAATACCCCCAGGAAGTTGATCTTTGACCTGGTTTCATTGAAAATGAGATCATGAGACTTCCAGATTATCTAGTTTGCTTTCGGTGCACCTCTGGCCTGCAGTTTGGGGCGCCGCGTAGAACCGAGGCACGCGCGGGTTTGCCCGATTATTACAACGTATGCTCACATTGAATTCGAATGCAAATAGCTTCCAGTTATACAGAATATCCTAGTTTATCTCTCCTGAGATGTGCATACGAACTTAAATCATCGATTATTTGGAAGATGTCTAGTCAATTGATGTTCTAATAAGTCGAGATCCCCTTTCCGGAATCGTATGGATATCGTCCACATACGCAGATAACATCGTTCCCATTACCCTATGCACTGTCTGAACAGATTAGCTTGAGAATGGTCATCAGCCGTGAAGTTGATGTGAATTTTCTTCTGAAAAAATTGACTCCAAAATTGTACGCTATTTTCGGCAATAATATGGGTTGAAGCAACAAAAAATAAAATCACCCAATCGTCTAGGATTTAGTGGGTCATGATTATCTCGGTTGACAGCATTTCGATTCTCATTTGGTACCACTATTAGCTAACCATCAGAGTCTATCTCGAGCTCGGTGTACTTTGATTTGGATTTTTTCCACAAATTTGGGCCTCAAATCCCCAAAAGTGGTAGTTTTTGCGGGGATCTATCAACGTTAGACACCATATTGTTGTACTATCGGTCCTCGGACGTATCTTGTTCAGCAACATTATCACCGACTGTGTTCTCTATCGAGACAGCTCGAGACAATGCATCCGGTACTAGATGCTATCTACTTTTCTAGTGAACAATCTTGGTCATGAGCTGAATTCGAATAAATTACCTGCCGATACAACCCACTAGATCCTCAATATTGTGCATACATTCCAACGAAAAATTATCCGTGATCATCAAGAATTTCGTGCTCTCTATGTATGGTCTCAATTTCTCAGAGACAAACAGGACGGCAAAACACTTCTTCTCCATTATACTGCACTTCTGTTCGGCTCCATTCAAAGAACGACTGAGATAACAGATAACCTTCTCCTCGTCATCTTGAATCTGGGGAATCGAAGCACCCAGACCGTAGTCAGGAGAGTTTGCAGAGTGGAGAAGAAATCAAAATCTGGACAGGATATAACTGGATTTGATACATGAAAATTATTGATAATTTTGACAAGAATCATCCCACACAAATTTCTTGTTCTCCTTGAGAATATCGGTAATCGGACGCGGGACTTATGATACCTCAGGATACCGTGTCAGATGCGGAAATTCGTAGTATCGCTTCAACCTTCTTGGGGTCCACCAGCATCATTGACAATGAACCATGAATATTCAAATTAAAGTCTACAAAAATCACATTCATCGCGATTCAAAGTGAGTCCTGCTTTCGTGAATCGATACAGATCTACAGGCACCTCTTCGATATGTATCGAAAGGTTTGGAGTTCAAACGATGACGAACCTCGAGTTGGACGAGAAACGCGGTCAACGGTCTTGACTCTACAGCCATCGGTATTTGCCAGTAAGCATCATATTATCAGCTAACTCCATTCAGTTTCTTGTAGTTCACGAAGAATCTCTCAGAATCATCTGACTTTCTGGCTAATACAATGGGTGAGGCCCAGAGCGGATTCGACGGCTTCATGATGTCATCCGCAAGCATCTCTTCGTGTTCAGAATTCATGTTTATGGTCGACCGGAGATAGAAAATAGTGCCGTTGTTTGACAGGTGCCAAGTTCTTTTGAGTTCCAATCTGTACGATAGTTGTACATACATCGTAACTTAGAACTCATGTTGAGAAATGTGGTGTTCGTTAGCTCGTTCAGCTGTTATCATCACGACTCAGACAAGTTATCCCCAGGCCTGTATCAAATTGACTACCAGATTACCCACCAATTTGTCTATAAGAAAAGCCCATTGATCTGAATACAAATCTGAAAT